CGCCCCCATCAGGCGCACGTGCTTGTCCTGCGTCGAGGGGGAAGGGGAGGGAAAGTGGAGGCGCCACGACAGCCCTAAGTAAGGACCCAGTGCCCCGCACGTGCTTCCCCTTGCTTGTGCCCTTTTGTGGCCCTCTCGCTCTCCTCTCTCTCTTTCTTGTCGCCACTGCCATCGGACAAGACACAAGCCCTCTTTCCCCTTCTTTCGACTTGCTCCCCTTCCCCTTGCCTTCCATCCCTCATCCTCCCCATTGCTACCACATGTCGCCCCCGCAAACAAGCCCGTTCCCCCCTCCTTCCTCCCCTCCCTGGCCCCTCACCTCCACACGGAACTCCGCCTTTCCTTCCCCGTTGGCCTCGATGTTGCCCAAGTCGCCCGCCATCCGCTCGTCGTCGTCCGGGGCCCCGTGGGCCTTCCCGAACGGGTTGAAAATGCCCCCTGCCGTGTCCAGGTTGTGTATAATGTGAAAAGGGTGTGGTGAGAAAAGGAGTCTTGGGAAAATTCCGGAGCAATGCTGCGTGTCACGCGGGGGGGAACGGCTCCGGCGAGCACATGGAGGCCGTAGCCTGCAAGACGATAACACGCCAGAAGAGGGAACGACCATACAGAGCCAAGGCCCGCACCTGCCCCAGCGAATCCCTCTGAAAAATCTCCAAAGGTATGGATGTGCAGACCGTGTCGTCCCTGTGCGCATGATGATAGTAGAACGAGAGAAGGCCTTGAGGAGACTGGGCCGCCTGTCACGGGACCCTTGAACAATGCGTCCACATACCGGTGCTAGGCCCGTGATGACCCCGTCCAGGATTGTGGGTGCTGTCTCTGACGCCTGTGACCATAATGGGAAAATACGACGCCACACATACGTAAAATTAGTGAAAGTCCCGAGCCGCCCTCTGCCAACCGTAAGTACCTGCTCGAAGCGAATGACCCCCTGGATGGACGTTTCTGTGTCACCAGGAGCACCGCGGATGAGTGCCACGCATCTGGCCATCGTTAAACCTTGACGTAAATTTAGCACCACGCGATTAAATAAGTGAGAGGCTTTGTGAGCAAGAAAGTACGGGTTTAGAACAGGGCAGAGGGGAGGAAGGGGGGAGGTCGAGAGGGTCCCGGAGGGCTTACGACAGTCAGAGTCCAGATTTGAACACAATTTATGCCTGCGCCGCACGACCTCGTCGACGCGCATGGCGAGGGCTAATGAGGCATTGATATAGTACGCATGAAGCGTCATTGACAAGTGACACAGCTGGATGATAATCGTTGCCTCCGCACAGACCTTCACACAATGAAGCGAAGCAGAGAAGCGAGGCTGTCGATGCAAGTAGCACGGTCAAAGGAATATACGACCCAGATTTTTACCTCCGCACAACGCTCAATTGCAATCCTGCACCTAACAGTCCACCCGGCCAAAGCTTTTCAGTTGGTCGTTTCTATGGCGTTTACGGCGCAGGAGTGGACGGAGGAATATGGCCGGGTGAAGACTTCTGCCATAGATCTACGCGCCTCGTTCGCAACCCCTTCGTCCTCTTCTTCCAATCCATCGACGCAACAATTGGCTAATCTAGAGCAGAGCGTCGACAAGCTGGACTATCGATTGGGAACCATGGAGCAAAATCCTGGGCAATTCGGCATGTGAGTGCGACAAAGTAGAGGCGAGGCGCACAGAGAGAGGGAGAAAGTCCATTTTGATGTTTATCACACTGATATTGTACCGATAGATTTCAAGCTATGCTCCCGTATGAAAGCCATTGAAACGGATCCGCGAGGCAATAACAGACATGGGCAGGGTGTGTCGATTTGTTGTGGTCGGCGGATGCACAGTTCTCTTGACGTCTTTCTTTTTGTCTCTCCTACTCTCCCTCCCCTCCTCGCTCCCTTTTCCCTCTTACCCTCACCCCTCTCTGCTTTCCTCCTATCCCTCCTCCTAGTTCCCAATCGGACGTGGTCCGTCGTCGAGAGCTGGTCAAGGGGTTGCGTCATCAGCTGTCCCTCCTTGGCACCAGCAGCCACGGCACCAACGGCCTGGTCACTGGGACTACTCGCGACGGCTCGGCGGCTTCGGGTGGTGGAGGAGTACCCGGAGGCCTCCGCACCCTCGCACAGCAGCGTCGAGAGATCATACACGAGCAAGACGAGCTCCTGGAGGACCTGGGGAAGGGCGTGGACCGGCTGAAAATGCAGGGCCTGGTGATCCGGGACGAAACTGGGATCCACCACAAGCTGCTGGAAGACATCGACGGGGACGTGGAGGCGGCGGCTTCGTCTTTGCGCATGGAAGCTCGACATGCCCAGCGGATACGCGAGCAAAGCACGGTGTGTCGTTTGTACATTTGCATCGCTATTTTGCTGATCATCTTAGTCCTGCTCTTGGTGATTGGCTTCACGTAGCTGAAAAGGGCAGGTTTGGGAAGAACAACGAACGGGTTGCTTCAAGAGCAGACTTTGTAAAGAAAGAATGAAATTTCACAGATTCCTTTTGATTGTTTTACTCCAAATTCATGGCCCCTCCTCCCATAGCAACGGGGCAGAAAGGAGGAAACTTTCGAGTGAGGCAGGTTTACTTTTTCTTTCCTTTTGTTTCCTTCTCTTTCGGAAATGGCTTCCTTTTGTATCAGCCCATAATGTCCGCTATGGGTTGCGCATGGATTTTACTAGTTACATAATGTCAAAGTGCAAGTGACTGAAAGTGATTTGATCGAAAAGCTAGCTGCTCAAGACGCATCCAAAGAAAAAGAAAAATATCTTCGAAATGAAACTTTCCCGTCTATCATTACACTAAACCAAATATTTGTGAGACACATTTTCGTCTTTTTTGTTATCTCTATTTGTACCGACGCGCACAAAAGAGCGAGGTGCTGTCCGTTGACGCGGTCGCTATCGCCTTCGTAAAACCATGCACCACCTTTTTTTCCATCACTCAGGCATTTTTGGTTTTTATTGTATATCACACAAGTGCTTGCTCCAAAGCGCAGGTTTGGGATAAATTCCTGCTGACGCAACGCGCGGACTAAAGCCATCGCATCGGCAGATACCCGGGCACGGACCTTGGTCAGGGTTGCGTTGGCCGAATGGCAAGGCAAAATATGCATCGATAAAGCTACAAGAATGGTACAATGGGTTTCCGGCTTGCGAAAAATGATTTAATTCATAGCCACCATGAACAAGGATAACTCCGTCCACCAGGTCAGTATCCGACTGCTCGCTCCCCCTCCCTTCCCTTGCTCACCCTCAGATTCATCCATGATCTTGCCCGCAGGTTCCTGATACACCCGTCCTCGTCGATGCCTTCCGCAAGTATCACTGCCCCGCCGTCGGAAGCCGTGCCCAAGCCCTGTTTTTCCTCTCCCATTACCACGCAGATCACTATCAAGGGCTGAGTATGGAGTGGTCCACGGGTGTGATATATTGCTCAACCATCACAGCCCGTCTTTTGACAAATATCATGGGTGTGCAGGCTCAATACGTGCGCGCCTTGCCCATGCATGAAGAGGTGCCTCTGCCATGGAATCCGGGGAGGGGCGGACGCGAGGAGGGAGGTTTGAGCGTGACGTTGCTCGACGCTAATCATTGCCCGGGGGCCTGCATGTTGCTCTTCAGGGTCCGGACATGCCGAGGAAGCAATACGGGGTGCAACGGTGACCACAGCCGTGGAGCGGAGGTCAGTGGGAGGGAGAGGGACGACGAATTTACGCTTCATTTGCACTGTGGGGACATGCGCTACCACCCCAGAATGCTGCACTACGCCGCCCTCCTGCACGACACCACCGCCTCCCATCCTCCGCGACCGGCCCGTCCTCGCAAGCTCGACACGATCTACCTGGACACAACCTATGCGCACCCTAAACACGCCTTTGCTGCTCAGGAGGATGCGATCCAGAGCGTGGGAGACTTGATCTTGGCCCGCCTGAGGAAGGAAGGGAGGGAGGTCGCACCCGGCGTCCCTCCTACCACAGCCACGACCTCGAATTACCCAAAGAGAGGGACCCTAGCCAGGCAATCTTCTCCTTCTTCCATCACGTCCTCTTCCCCTCCCCCTCTCCCTCCCTTCCTTCCTCCCCCGTCCGCCCCTTCCCCTCGCCCC